TCCTCACTCACACGGAGGACGGGATGCACACGCACACACACGGAGGATGGGGACACACACACACATACACACACATGGATGCCCACGGAGGACGGGACACACACTCTCTCTTCTCATTCACACCCGCAGAGGTCCCTTCCTGAGCCTGGGGTTTTCTGACAGCCAGTGGTGCACGCTCGGGCTTGTCCGAGTCGGGTGAAGCATTTGCACCAAACGAGTCTCGCCGCCGTGCAGGCCTGCAGACCCACCCCTGCCTGCAGCCCTGCCCACGAGGCACCAGTGTGCTCCCTGTCAGCTAGAACTTTCTCCCTACGGTTCTCTCAGCCAGCGGCTTGGAGGGCTCCAGGAGGCCCCACACGTGACTGTGGCTGGGCCTCCGGGGTGGGTTGCAGCCACGTGGCCGGACCGTGAGCCTGGCTGTGCCCGTCTGCTAGGTCCGACGTAACTGTTGGCTGGGGCCAGGCCTGTGCCAGTGGGCCACCACCGTGGGCTTCTGGGCCACCAGTGTCACAGGGACAAGCGTCTGCTGGGGCTTGGCAGCAGTCCAGTCCCCGAGGAGTTCAGGACAGGCTCACCTCGGAGACCACACGGCTATAACTTCTAGCTCAAGGACAGTTTAAAGATCAGAGCTGTCATTAGCAGGTGTCCTGGCGTGACAGCTCAGCTCTAGGACCACCCGGCAGTCCTGCATCCTCTCTGCGAGAGCCTGCACTTTGGGGTTACTTGAAAGTCGCCTCGGACCACAAAGCACAGAGTTTCAAATTTGTTCCAAAAGAGAAATTAAGGTGTGAAGAATGTGTTCAGTTCTCCTCTTTGCGTGAAGAACAGTAAGAGCCTTATTTGAATTAAGTAAGCATTTATGTAGGATCTGGAAAACAATGCTTCTGAAAGGAACCCAGAGGTAGCTGGGAGAAGGAAAAATAGCTGAGGACGGAACCCTCCTTTCTCCGGAGCAACGGGCAGAAGCGGCAACCGGGTTTTACATGCAGGGCAGCCCGTGTCCTGGTGGCACGTGTGGGGCCTCCGCCACCAGGCTCATGTGGAAAGGGCCAACCCGGCGCCACGTGTGCAGCTGCTCTTGGGCTTTCCGTGGGCCCCCCTTTATCTTCAACGCTGGGGGTGTCTCCCAGCGTGGGGAGGGGGAGCAAGAGCCCACAGTGGGGCCTGGCCGCGTGTGCGCACCTGGTGTTTTCAAGCTGCAGGGCTGGGACTTGAACCCTGGCTCCCTTGGCTTCCTCGGGGCACTGTGCGGCTGCTGCCCTAAGGGGCAGGGGCCCCATGGCCTCTGAGAACCCACTTCCATAAGCTCGTCCTGTCTGCCTTTCAAGAGCGGCTACCGTCTGACCTGGCTTCTCCCTGGTTCTTCGGAAATGCCAGGGATCCCACGAGCCTCAGTGTAGACGCAGGGAGAAAGCAGATGGGCCCAGAGCCCCAGGCAGAGCTGTCTGTGAGGATGACTTGTTTCACGAGGCCACAGCTTTCGGAACCCATGTCTGACCCGCTGCCTGCGGTGTGGGCTGTGGTACATGACATTAAAACACTTCGGTTACCTTGAAGCATCTTTCAAGAGGGTCAGTCCCTCGGGACAGGGGTCGAGGCCCAGGGAACGCGGAGCCACACCCCTGCGTTTGGGAGTGGACAGCCGAGGCCAGCGGGTGTGTCTGGGTGCCGACGGGCGGTCCGGA